GAGCTTAAACTCTAAAATTCTTTGAAGACATGGAAATCTTCATGACCTTGGATTTGGCAGTATTTCTTAGACATGACATCAAAAGCACAAGCAACCAAAGAAAAAAAATCAATAAATTGAACTTCCTCAAAATTAAAAGCTTTTGTGCTTCAAAGGACACTCAAGAAAGTGAAAAAAACAACCCTCAGAATGGGGAAAAAATACATGAACTCATACAATATATCTGAAAAAGATCTGGCATCCAGAATATATAAAGAACTCTTACAATTCAACAATAAAAAGACAGTTTGTCCATGAAAAAATGGGCAAAATATCTGAGTTGACATTTCTCCAAAGAAGATCTACAAAGCGGCCAATAAGCACATGAGAAGATGCTCATTGTCATTAATTAGGGAAATGCAAATCAAAACTACAATGAGATACCACTACACGCCCAGCTGATGAGTAGAATTTTTTTTTTTTTTTTAGAAAGAAAGAAGGAATGAAAAACACAGTAACAAGAGTTGGCCAGGATGTGGATGACTTGGAATCCTGGGGATGTAAACTGGTACAACTGCTTTGAATTAGTTTGGCAACTTCTCGAAAAGTTAAGCACCAATTTACCATGTGACCCAACAATTAGCATTTCTACTTCTGGTTATATAGTTAAGAGAATTGAAAACTTATGCCACACAAAAAGTTATATGTAAATGTTCATAGCGGCATCCTTCATGATAGCCAAAAAGTGGAAAAGCCCAAATATCCATCACTTGGTCGATGGGTACGCAGAATGGTCAAGAAGAAAAATGAGATACTCCCACACCACCTTGGAGGGAGACACCAGAGCGTAAGGATCAGGCTGCACCTCTAGACATTTGAGAAGAGATGCCGTGAGGGTGAGAGAGTTACAGAAGACCCTGTGGGATGGACAGAATTGCACTGAGCTCCAGGAAAGTTGAGGACAGAATGTTCTAGAGGAGGGCCAATAAAAAGCGTTTCTAGTCAGGGAAACAGCTGGAAAAAAGCCCTGGAGGCAGAAAAGCCTATTGGGCCTGCAGATAAGGAGCAGAGGTCCTTAAGGAAGGGATGCCAGATCTGGGGAGCTGGAAAGTGCACTAGACAGTGGTCCCAAGATTTGCGATCCAGGACTGAGACAAGAAGGACTCACACCACCCGCATGAGAAGCAGTGTGAGATCTGTTGGCCTAACTTGAGTCCCATTGTCCTTTCAGACCACAGCTCCCTTCCCCTGACTCTGGTTCCTTGGCCAGGTCTGCAGAGCCTATGCGTGTGCTTCCTCGTATGGGTTTTTCTTTTTTTAAAATATGTGTTTATTTATTTTTATTTTTTTAAATGTTTTTATTTCTGAGAGAGAGAGAGACAGCGTGAGCAGGGGAGGGTCAGAGAGAGAGAGAGGCACAGACTCTGAAACAGGCTCCAGGCTCTGAGCTGGCTGACAGCACAGAGCCCAACATGGGGCTTGAACCCACGAACCGTGAGATCATGACCTGAGCCGAAGTCAGATGTTTAACCGAGCCACCCAGGCACCCCTCATATGGGTTTTTGGCTTGTGAGACTACCTTCCCCCAGATTGGAAATCCAATAGGACCCTCCATGCCCTCCCTGCCCACCCCGCTTGGAGCTGGCACTTGGCCTTTGCAGGTCCTACTGGCTGGAATCCCCGCCCTTTGCTCAAAGACCTCAGAAAAGAGAGCCTCTGACTCCTGGTGGCATTTAGCTTCGCTCTTTAAACATCTGGGTCACAGATACGCTCAGTTAATTAATGTTCTTAGTGCTGTTCATTTGCCTGCTGGATAATAGATTGATTCATAATTTCAATAAGCAGCTGTGTATATCTTTCCCCTGAACATAAAGGCAGCTTGCTGTCATTCATCACTTGGCATTGGGTGAATTTGAGTGTATTCAGAGAGACATTGTTTAGGGAGGGGTGAGGAGGGCTTCTGATTTTCTTATCATTTTGCCTCTAACAATCACTCTGATTTGGAACTAATTTGGGCTGAAAGCACACGTTAACCTCATCTCTCTCAAGGGCACTCAATAAAGCCCCTGTCTCTTGTTTCAGAGGGGACCAGGTGGGCTCTCCCTCGGTGATCAAAACAAAGGGTTTCCGAGTGGTTTTCATCAGGAATGAGAACCCCTGCAGAAAATCCCATGCCCTGGAGAAGAGGCACTGAGCAGAGCCGACTTCTGGCTCCATTCCTGACCAGAAACACCCAAGCTCTCGGGAGGAGCCCAGGATCACATAGGAAGACGCCCTGCTGCTGCTCAGCTGTTGGGCCAAGGCAGCAAACCATCGGGTCCCTAGGGCCCCAAGGAGAGAGGCCAGGACCCCTGCGAGGTGACCAAATGTCTTCATGCCTCAGCTCCTTCGTCTTTAAATTGGGGAGAGTAGTAGAAACCTATCTCACAGAAGTACTGTAAGAATTACATCCTTTATCCCCTGCAAAGTGCTTAAATGGTGCAAAGTATGCCTCTAATACATGCAAGCTGGCCATTTTATATCTTAATTCATTCAGCACCAGCTGTATGTTAATGATCTTCACCCCTACCTCCGCCACCTCATAGGACGTGAAAGCAAAAATGAGAGATGTATTTTCCTGTCTCGTGGCCCTCACCAGCCTGCATTGGCATTATCTCAGTGGGAACACAGCCCTGTCCTTATATTCCCAGAAACCCGTTCCCAGGCTGGGCACACAGAACTCTTCAAAACCTGCCTGTGGAGTTGAAACAAATAGACGTGGCCGCATCTTTTAAATGATGTTGTTCACCACAGTGATAACATCCACAAACATGTTTTGAGCACTTAGTCTGTGATTTTCTCCTAGCAAGGAATGAAATTAATTAGACACAGTCCCTGCCCCGAAAAGAGTGTGAAAGACAGATGGATGCATTCACTCAAGAGTTGGTATACAGGATTATAAGCAACATGGACAGGTGAGAGAGGAAGGCCACCAGAGTAGCATGGACCCCGCTGTGGGAAGGGTTGGTAGACAGCACCATCTCTGTATCAGTCAGCTCTTGCTGCGTACCAACTACTCCCAAACCTTGGTGGCATAAAGCAATATGCCTTTATTATTGCCCATGAGTCTGTAGGTCAGCCAGATGGTTCTGTGATCTGGACGAGGCTCAGCTGACTTCAGCTGGGCTCATTCACATATCTCCTGGCAGCCAGGAGGTCGGCTGAGGGCTGCCTAATGTAGGACAACCTTATCCACTTGTCTGTTGGTTGGCTGGCTGTGGTTGGGCCACCTGTCTCTCCTCTGGCAGGCCATCCAGAGCTTCCTGCCAGGGTGACAGCAGGGTTCTAAGAGCAAGAGAGTGGAAACATGCAAGGCTAAAGGTGTAGTCCATCACCTGGCACATCCTCCCCTCCACTATATTCTGTTGGCCAAAGCAAGTCGCCAGTATTCAAGGGATGAAGAAGTAGACTTCACTTTTCAATGCCCATTGCTACAAGTCATAGTGCCTGCAGTGCATGGAAGGAAGGAGTGAAGGATGTGACTGTTTTCGCAATCTGCCCCAATCCCCTAGGATTCGTCGCTGTGCGTGGAGCAGACAGCAGGTACCAGGAGTGTGTTGCACATTTAGGACGCTTCTGCTTTTTCATCACTATAAATAATGCTGCAGTAAAGACCCTAGACATGAACTTGTGTTCGTGGTCGTGATCGTTACCTTGGGAGAGATTTCTGAAAGTGAATTTACTGGGTCAAAAGAGGAAAACATTGTAAAAGCGTCAAGTGTATATTTTGAAATTCCGTTTTTGAAAGGGAATTTGAGATTCCCTGCTCCAGCCCATTTTATGCTAACCGTGACAAAAATAGAAATAGGGTTTTTTAAAAATGTTTATTTATCATTGAGACAGGAGAAACAGAGCATGAGTGGGAGAGAGGCAGAGACAGTGGGAGACCCAGACTCCAAAGCAGGCTCCAGGCTCTGAGCTGTCAGCACAGAGTGCAACACGGGGCTCGAACCCACGAACTGTGAGATCATGAGCCGAAGTTGGAAGCTTAACCGACTGAGCCACCCACACGCTGGAATAGGGTTGTTTTGTTTTGTTTTGTTTTGTTTTGTTTTTTTATTTATTTCTAGGAGAGAGAGAGACAGCGTGAGCAGGGGAGGGTCAGAGAGAGAGAGTCACAGACCGAAAGAGGCTCCAGGCTCTGAGCTGGCAGTCAGCACAGAGCCCGACGCGGGGCTCGAACCCACGAACCGCGAGATCATGACCTAAGCGAAAGTCGGACGCTTAACCGACTAAGCCACCCAGGCGCCCCATGTTTTGTTTTGTTTTGTTTTTTAATGTGGTATCATGTCGCTGTTTTAGTTTATTTTAATACCTATTAGGTTGAATGCTTTTTAACATGTTTCTTCTTTAGCAGACTGGCTCTTTGGCCACTTTACAGCAAGGTGGAATTAATTAATTAATCCCAATTTACAAATGAGGAGGAAACACAGGCTCAGAGAAGTTAAGCGACTTCTTCAAGGTGGCCCAGCATCTGATTTTAGAAATCAGATGTCCTGCGCTTTTACTTATTCCTGCTCCTCATGTTGCTGAACAGAAGGCTAGAAACGCTAACTGAGGATGCGCTTTAAAAAAAATCAGACAGAGGGCGCCTGGGGGGCTTAGTCGGTTAAGCGTCTGACTTTCGCTTAGGTCATGATCTCGCGGTTCGTGGGTTCGAGCCCCGCGTCGGGCTCTGTGCTGACAGCCAGCTCAGAGCCTGGAGCCTATTTCAGAATCTGTGTCTCCCTCTCTCTCTGACCCTCCCCTGCTCACGCTTTCTCTCTCTCTCTCCTAGAAATAAATAAAAATATTTTTTAAAAAAATCAGACAGGCCCTAGGGAAGCTATGTTCAGACTTAACCAGCAGGAGGCTGGCTTCCTGAGCAGGGCTCACATGCGAATTGGGTGCGCGGTGGCCAGGACAGTGACACTGGCAGAGGCACAGAGGAGACCTGCAGACCTGAACCGCCTCCCCCCACCTCTCATCTGGTCTCTCCCCAGCTCGCGCGCTACACCAAGGAGGGCTTCCTGCACTTGGGAGCCCTGGGTACCACCACGCTCCTCCCGGACACCCGCTGCCTGGTGGATAACTCCAAGAGTCGGCTGCCCCAGCTGCTCGACTGTGACAAAGTCAAGAGCAGTCTGTACAAGCGCTGGAACTTCATTCAGGTGGGTGCCCCATGGAAAGGGCCAGCTCCCCAGAGCAGGTGAGGGCTCTGCAGACCACAGGGAAAGCTGACTTCGCCAAGCTTTCCCCAGGAAAGCACACCAAAGGTCTCCAGCCCTGGACCAGCCTTATGAACCCAGGGCACGTCGAGGGGGAGCCCGCAGTGGTGGGGACTTCCGTGTGAGAGACCACCGTCCAGGGCCCTAGGGCAGCACCAGGCAGGCTGGGCTCTGATAGATCTCAGGAGGGGAGTGTGGGTGACTTCCCTGAAATCTGCTAAGTACCTACAGCTGGTACGATTGAGAACGTCAGACCTTGAACATCCCTGGACATTCCCCGCTCTGACACCACCCCCCCTTAGTGCCTGTCACCTGGTTCAGCCATCCAGACTCAGTGACGCTGATACATTTTCTGACCTCCGGATTTCCGGGAGGAGGCCCCGATGATCCCTCCCCCTGTGCAAAGAATTTTGGTGGGACTGTTCCCATGAGAGGCCACGTGCCCAGCACTATAGTGGTTAAACCTCTTTCTCTCTCTCTCCCTTATCTCTCTCTCTGCCTTTCTGTCTCTATTTCTCTCATTGTCTTATCTCTTTCTCTCTCTATCTCTCTGACCCTCTACATCTCCGTCTCCATCTCTGTTTCTCTTTGCCTCTGTATCTGTCTCAACGTCTCTCTATGTCTCCACCTGTCTCTCCTCCTTTTGCCCAGAATGGAGCCATCATGAATAAGGGCACGGGGCGCTGTCTCGAGGTGGAGAACCGGGGCCTGGCCGGCATTGATCTCCTCCTCCGCAGCTGCACAGGACAGAGGTGGACAATTAAGAACTCGATCAAGTAGCGGGGAGGAACGGGGGCGCCCCCGGAGCCTGGCCCCCGGGACAGGGTCTGCCCGTCCCCTGGCCCAGCCGCACTAGGGAAGAGACGGCACAGAGCCAGCAGGTGCTCGCCAGGCCCTCCGGGGCTTCTCCAGGGGCCCCACGTGGAGACTTGGTGTCCCCATTCGGCACTCGGCTGCCGTGAGGCTCGGGCCCCCCTGGAGAAGCCCCCAACCCCTCTCTGGGAACCCAGGAGCCGCGTCTTCTGCAGCTTGGATGTGGACCTCATACCGTGGAGTGAACCCCCCATATCCTCCTCCTCATCTCCCCAGCCACGGTCAGGACTGGGACAGGCAGGGGCCGCCCCTCCTCTTCTTCGTCCCTCGCGGCTGCCGCAGCTTGTGAACGCCACCCCAACCCTCAACAAGGTGGGGGGGGTGCTCAGCCACGTCCTGTCTCCCCCTCCTCAGAGGAGGCGGTGAGGCCCTGAGACTCAGTTTCCCTGGAGGTTGCTTCTGCCCTGATGCCCATTTACAGCTCAAGGCAGCCTCCACCCCAAACCTTCCCGGCAGACGGCTTTGGTGGCTACAGCCCTGGACTTTTCTGGACCCGCCCTAAGATGGCCTGGGAGGGAAGAATGCATCTAGGTCCCAGGGTGCCAGGCTCTCCCGTCCCCGGGGCCGGCTGCTCTGCCTGAGTCTGCAGGGGGCCAGAGACAGGGAGAGGCCATGCCCGTAGGGAGGTCGTGGCTGTGAGGGGCCACCCAGGCCAGTGGGGTTCTGCCCTCCGGGGACCAGGGAGCCCTGACTGATGGAGGCCGCCACAGGAGCCTCCCCCCGGCAGCTTTAGGACTGAAGCCAGCACAGCAGGCTGGGGCCGGGACCCTGGAGAATGCGCCAGGTCATCTCATCTCACCCCGTGCTCTGCTGGCCGATGGGGGAGAAGGCAGTCGATTCCTCTCTGAAGAGTAATAATTTTTTTCGATTGCCCTCTGGTTAGGGTGCCCTTATAAATCAGAGTTAATATATGGACGCGTGTGCATGCCTGTGAGTGTGTGTGCCTGCGCGGTGTGCGTGTGCGCGCGTGCATGTGTGTGCGTGGGGTGCGCATCCGAGTGTGTGGGAGAGCGGATGTCCGAGTGTGGCCTCGGGCTTGCCGCTTCATTGCCCGCCGGGATCAGGACAAGACAGCTGGAAGCAGGGGGGGTTGGCCACGCCTCTGTGGCCAGGAGGGCGTGGCCCAGCCTGGCCCCATGTGGCGCCCCAGATGGAAGGCTGTCCCTTCTGCCAGTTCCCTCTCTGTCCCTCGTGCTGTCCCCAAAGGCCAAGCCCTGCCCAGAACCAAATCCTGTAGTTGCCCAGTTTGGGGTTCACAGTGTCTCATTTGGTGGCATCTTAGCGGCGATCGCCCCTCCCCATTCCTCCCTTGTGAAATAAATACATGTGAGCACTTCCCAAAGCAGCCTTGCTTGCTTCTTGGTTCCTCCGGGGTTCGGGGGCGTTCCTGGGCCATGGCAGAGGGCTCTTTCGATCGGGGGTTTGGTCTTACTGTAAGCAAAAGCCCTCGCTCACAGCACGAGGCTGAGACAAAGCCAGCCTGCACTTGCGCTCACCTTCCCCGCAAAGCAGGACAGAACTTCACATTTGTGGCTCGTGCACTGACCCCATTGTGGACCCCAGCTTAGGAGGGTCAGGCTGGTGTAGGAAGCAGAAAAAAAAAAGAAGAGGGTTGCGGGGACCTGGCCGAGCCACCTGATCTGCCCACCCCTGGTGCCTCGAAGCCTCTGCCCCTTCTGCTCAGGGGCAAGTGAAATCCTTAAAGATGCCAGGCCTTCCATCATGGAAACAGGGATGGAAGGAATGGCCCAGAGTCCCCTCAGCTACGGCAGCCCCCCTTCCCTTTGAGGAGGCCCAGAAGGTCCCTCTTATTTGAGGTCACACAGCACCCAGACACACACCCCCATGGCAGCTGCCATTTTTCCTTTGGGTTCTAGGAGAATCAGGGTCCATGCACGCACTGATGGAAAATGCTGGAGTCTTGGGATGAGTGTGAAGGCTAGAAGAGCTGAAGGTCTGCAGGTTCCCACGGGAGTCCAGGGAGTCGTCGAGATAATATCACAACGTGATGCTGTGGGGCGGAGGCCTACCCAGACTGCACCATACTCCCCTCTGTGTGGGTCTTAACGTACAAATATGAAGAAGGCATCATGCTGTTTTGCCATTTGCTGAGGTTTTGATCCCAGATCCTGGTGAGGTGCTCGGTGGGCACCAAGTAGGACCCCCATTCTACAGGAGATGGGCAAATGACCTCAGACCAAAGTAAGCAACGAGTCCTGCCCAGTCCTCTGATGGAACAGGAGCCCACACCCTCTGGGCTCTAGCACGCTCAGTGCATTCGGGGGTCCTTGGTACTCCAGGCTGCACCCCAAGAATTCAAGGCAGCAAGTGCCCTGGAACTTACCAGAGTGAAGTACTCTTCTTGAGAGTCACATGCGGCAGGACAGGATGTTTGGGTTGGCTTGTTTCTGTGTGCGCGTGGGGGAGGGTAGTGGCACTGGGTCAGGACCGTGGGACGCTCTCTGCCTCTGAACACCAGTACGGGGGCCCCAAGTCTCCGTTCCTGCCCCGGGGAGGCCTGGGACCCTATCGGCACCTGCTGTCGGTGCTCACCTGGGTTACCTCTCAGGAGCTGGGCTACCTGGGCAAACTGGCCAGAGCATGAGGCCAACGTCCGAAGGTAGCGCCCTCCTTGCCCCACAGGGCGGGAGGTGGGGGGTGGGGGGCCAGAGGCCAAGGCAGAGAGGAGGAATGAACAAAGTTAAAGAAGGAGGAGGGGGAAAGTAGCAGGGCCCTGCAGCAGCCTTGCGTCCAGTCCTTTGGAGGACTTTGGAAGCTCTGGAGCCCCACATCTCTGCACGGTGGCATCGGGCTCCAGACATCGGCTTCCAGGGACATCTCACTCTCCTCCAGAAAGGGCTGGGGGTTAGCACCATCTGTAGTTGGGCATACTGCCCGCACCCCAGACCTTGCAGGGGGGTGACGCACAGGGGTGAGCCCCGACAGCCTTTGCTCCACACCCCCTCTGTCTACTTAGTCCCTCACCTGCACCCCCGTGCCCCTGTCTGGTGACTATTTCTCCTGCTTTTCTCCAATTTCCCCTCTCTATTTATATGGGGAAAAAAAAAAACCCGTCCCAGATGGTATTGCTGACACATGCCCAAGCCCCACTGCTGATGTCTTTGAATCTATATGCGTTACTTCTCAAATGTGTTCTTTCTTATTCTGGTGGCCAGAGAGGGAGAAATGGGGAAGACTGAGAAAGCACAATCTGGGCCGGAAGCCACTGTCTTAACCCACTCCGAGCCCTATTGCTTGGTTTCCTGAAGCCATTTCTTTCCATCGCGTATATTTCCCCTCCCTCCTTGAATAGCATCCCAGTTTCCCAAATGGCAGAAGTCAGGCCCCACCAGAGCAGGCCACTCTCCCAGGGCTGTCCCTGATTTTGCTATTTCTCTCCTTCCACCTTGCTTGGGACCACTACTCTGACAAAGGCTGAATGACAGCCCTGCCCACGGCCCCCATTCCCTGCCACCCTCCCCCCCCCCCCCCACGGAATGACATTCCCCCAGGGGATGGGGTTCAGAGAGGCCTGGAGCCTGCATAGGAAACCAGGAAACAAGGAGGCCCAGACCAGCAGGGAACCACTAAGTGCCAGGTGTCGGGTTACAGGTCCCCACTCACTGCCAGCATCTTGCTTCTTGTTTTTGCTTTTTAAATTAAGTTTCTTTTTTTTTTTAAGTTATTTATTTTGAGAGAGAGAGACAGAGAGCATGCGCATGCACATGTGCGGGGTGGGGAGGGGCAGAGAGAGAGAGAGAGAGAGAAAATCTCAAGCAGGCTTCATGCTATCAGTACAGAGGCTGATGCAGGGCTCAATCTGATGAACTGAGAGATCATAACCTGAGCCAACATCAAGAGTCGGATGCTTATCCAACTGAGCCACCCAGGTGCCCCTATTAAGCTTTTATTTTAATTCTACGTCATTAACCAACAGTGTTATATTAGTTTCAGGTGTAAAATATAGTGATTCAGCGCTTCCATGCAACACCCTGTGCTCATCACGATAGGTGCCCTCCTTCATCCACATCACTCATTTCACCCATGCTCCCACCCACCTCCCCTCTGGTAATCATCAGTTTGTGCTCCCTCCTTAAGAATCTATTTCTTGGTTTGCCTCTTTTTTCTTCCCCTTTGCTAGTTTGTTTTGTTTCTTGGGTTCCACATATGAGTGATACCATATGGTATTTGTCTTTCTCTGACTTACCTCGCTTGGCATTATACACTCTAGCTCTATCTCTGTTGTTTCACATGGTGAGATTTCATTCTTTTTATGGCTGAGTAATATTCCACTCTGTGTGTGTGTGTGTGTGTGTGTGTGTGTGTGTACACATACCACATCTTCTTTATCCATTCATCTGTGGATGAACATGTGGGCTCCTTCTGTAGTTTGGCTACTATGAGTAATGCCGCTACTAAAAGGCAAACTAGCCTCTTGTTTCAACCCAATCTCCAGATCAGCAGTTGGGCTCACAGGTTATCAGCTCCTAATCAGTTGCCCTTGCTCTTGCACAGATCATGAACCTGAGACTTATGGCCACTCTGCTTTCTCGCTTATCAAGCAAGTTCCCTAGACTGCATGCTAGCAATCAGTGGTGGGCCCCAAACCCCAGAGGCCCATTTCAGTTCAGTTCGACAATTCTATTTGGACAGTGATCCTTTGGTTTGTGTTTTAAGAATTCTTGGAAAAGAGAAAGCAAAGGAAGAAGGAGCTAAAATACAGTGAGCAAGGGTACCACGAATGTCTTGGTCTTTAGCCTTTAAGGCTTATATTTGAAAGAAGAACATAGACACTGTGTATTGGGCTTCCCCACCCCTGGAGCCCCGACAGTCATGAAATGGGGTCTATTCCCATCAGCGCAAATGGGGATCTTGGTGTATTTACAGATTTCAGTGTTCTTTCCCCAAAGAGGGTCCAGCTGAGGGCTGTTGCCGATATGCTCCCAGCTTGAATCAATCGGCTGCCTGTTGCTGTGGGCTCCCCACACTGCCTGAGCCCAAAGAGCCAAGTTGAGGAACTAAGAAAGCCAGACAGGGATCCTTGGTGCTGTTGATGGTAGCAGAACATGGGACTGTCTATTATGCTCATCCTTAGTCAATAGAGGCTTCATAATACTCCAGGATCAAATATTATCTCATTCCCTCTTTCATGGGATGCCCACCTACCTTAATCACCTACTTCATAAACTACTTCACCTACCTTTTTCATAAACTCCTTGTTCTGGAGCAGAAAATTCATTCTGATGGCGAGCCAAGCCAAGGCCAGATCTCAGTAACCTCTCACCCTCAGAGCTCTGAAAACAAGATTAACTGCCCCTTAAAAAGCCACAGTGTGCCTTAAAGTCAGTGCCCTACCTTGAAGTTTTAATACAGCCAGTTATAGCTGAGAGAAAAACAACCTATATTCCATTGGCAGCAGTTTATCCGTGGGCAGAGCTCACTTCCGCCACCTGGTGAAATGGTTAAACTTTCTTGGCTGGGGAAGCCGTGTCCCATTGCCACAGGATTGGGCTCATGTTGTGAAAAAAATGTTCATCTACTGTTTTTTTCCTTTTTTAAATGTTTATTTATATTTATTTTTGAGAAAGAGAGTGAGAGAGAGCAGGAAAGGGGTAGAGAGAGGGAGACAGAGAATCCCAAGCAAGCTCCCTGTCGTGAGGGCAGAGGCCAACTCGGGGCTCAAACTCACGAACCACAAGATCACGATCTGAGCTGAAATCAAGAGCCAGATGCTCAACAGAGCCACCCTGGGGCCCTTCATCTTCTGTTTCGTAAAAAAACTAATGGATGGAATCCTTCTAAAGAAGAAAAGATTCTCACAGACCCTCAGGGGTGACCTAATTTATTTTGTATTGTAGGGTTTCTCAAGTATGCATGAACATAAAATGGCTTTTGCTTATAGATCTGCTACCGCTATAAAATAAAATGAATTTACAAGCCGTACAA